ACGATAGAATTATTTTATCTAAAGTTGAAGGGCTCTCTCACTTTGTATATTCTGCTCTTTCTTTGTTTGTCAATGATAAATCTATAAAGGAAATTAATAAAATATTTTTGGATTTTATTTGGAAAAATATACTGTACAAATTAAAAAGAGATGTGCTTGCTAACTCCAGAAGCGAAGGTGGCCTTGATTTTTTGGACTTCGCAGATACTGTAAACACCTTTAAAGTAAACTGGCTGAAAAGATGCCTTACAAATCCAATGTCACTGTGGTTTGTTATTCCAAATAAGATATTTGACCAACTTGGTGGCCTGTCTTTCTTACTAAAATGCAATTTCTTGCCTGGCAAGTTCTATTTCCAGGGGTGTGGACTGTGGACTCGAATCACTTGACTCGAGACTTGACTCGGACTCGAGTCCCAAATTTGATGACTTGCGACTCGACTCGACATAATTAAAGAAGACTTGAGACTCGACTTAGACTGTAGCCTTGTCCAAATACCCACACTTGCGGTCTTTGCACTTGACCACTTGACTACTTATATGACGTATTTCCTGTATTTGGCCCAAGTGTTCAAGTGAGGATGAAGACCACAAGTGTGTGTCGAACTTTTCATTACCTGACGGGATACACTTGTAGTGTTGTAAAAATGCAAGTGTTTACATAGCTTTATTTTAATTTTAATTTTAAATACTTTGCATTTTAAAATCAACTTCTAAATTTCTGTTCAGTAGTCCCAATAACATGACAATTTTAATTTGTGGTGCTTCTAATTAAGTGATTAACCCTTAAATGCATGAATGTTTCGCCAATCATTTACATATTCGGGTCTTTAGCGACCCGGACCTATATGCACGGATGGATCTTTAACTGTTGCAATAGCAAAAAACTCTCTTGATATTTTAAGAACAATTACAGAAGAATAAAATGAAGCATATTTCGCTACCTTTTGAAACTTAAAATGGTTCAATTTGAGCAGATGATTTTACCATCGCTGTCATCGTCAGAGCGCACTTCCACAGTACAGATGGTTTAATAACAACTTGAACTGTATTCTATCTGTGTTTGAGTATTTGATTGATATTTTAACTTACGAACAATTTATGAATCTCCATAATTTTCCAGTCCCACCAAAGGAATATAATACTTTGATGAGAGCCATCCCAGTAGGCTTAACCCAGTTAATTAAAAGTCACCTTAAATTCTGTAAAGGCAACAGTGTTTATCTGGCTTTATGTTTGGGTGGTATCGGTATTTTAGATCGGAAATGCAATAACAGACATATTCGCAAAATATTTCAGACAAAGGGAAAGATTACTCCAAGAGGGAAATTCTATTGGGGTTCCTTTATAACAAATATAAATTGGAGAAAGGCCTGGCTTTTGCCAAGTAAATTTTGCATTTCTAACAAGGTTAAGGAGATTCATTATAAAATATTTCAAAAATTGTATCCCGTTAATTTGTCTATTTCTAAATATTCTAATGTTGATGAGTCTTGCTCGTTTTGTGGTTTTGTTGAGGAAACAGCTGCCCATTTGTTTTTTGATTGTGGTGTTACCAACAAATTATGGGTTGACTTAAGCACCTATGTTTCTAACCTTACAAATGTGAGCCATACCTTCGTCCTCAAAGATATTATTTTTTATTATGAAAATCCAAAGCTATTATCTGCTGAATATGTTGTTAATTTTCTTATATTGAATGCAAACTTCTTCATTCATAAGCAAAAATGGCTTAAATCTCCTTTGTCTTTCCCCCTTTTTCTTGTTGAATTGGGCTCTCTTGTTTCATCTCTTAGACTTACAAATAACAAAAAGAGTGCCAAATTTTTTATGTATTATGACAAATTTTCTAAAAGAATGTAAGTTTATTTTTGCACTTCTAAGTATCGATAATACTATAATTTGACATAAGCAAATCCAGAATATTTGTTTTTCTGTTCTTATTTTTATGATTGTTTTTTGTTGGAATATATTCATGCCTCGCTTCTCTGTTTCTGTATGTTTCTACAAGTTTTGTGATAAAACTGTTGTGTTGATCACTTCACATTCATTTACATGGACAACAATACTCCAATTTTAATACGATTAAGACAATACTCTGATTTAAGAATCTACCATGTAAACAGAGATTTTTGATTACCTTAATCCGGCTAAAGTCATAATCGACGTAAACACTAATCGAATTAAGACATGTGGAGTATTCCTATTTTAGTTGCATTATTTAATGGCAGTAAAGACACGTACACACCTTAAAACCACTTAAGCTCGGGGCGTTTTTTGGTATTTTCGCCTAAATTTAACATACTCAAATTCAAATGTTTACCCTGCACACATACAATGGAGGAAATGAAAAAAAATGGTTTCATTGTAAAGAAAACCCTTTGAACTACAAAAGTATATTTTTAATACATTTAATACTACGTCTTTTTCACCTGGGTCGTCTATCATGGCCTCCTAATAATCCCCATTCAGTTGATTGGCTCTATGACTCTCTCCTCTCCACCTGTAGCTGGTGTGTGGTGAGCGCACTGGTGCCGTTGTACTGTGGTTGGCGTCGCATCATACCCCCACATATGATTGTAAAGCACTTTGGGTGTACAGTAATACACAATAAATCGCTATATAAATGCATCATTCATTCATCATTCATGCAGGGCTGCGGCTCTCCAGGACCAACGTTTGCCACCCCTGCTTTAGACATACAGTATATGATGCTGCTGCTGACATTTACACTCATGTACATATTAAGAGAGAAAACAATATGTCTATAAACTTGATTTTTAGCACTTCTTCAACACCGTATCTATAGCATGCCTCCGTGTAATTCGGTCCGT